GGTCAAAGATTTAACATTTACGCAAGAACGAGTCTCTTAGCTATGTCGAGAAGGTTCAGCTCTCTGCCGTCAGCCGACCATCAGACGTCGGACCATTGTAACTGTAAATTACGTGAGATGGTCCGGTGAGATTTTACCGTGACGTGACATTGTTGAAGAGAAAAATAAAAAATTTAACACAATTGCCTGTCCGTTTTCGTCTGTTAAAGATAATTTTGAACTAAAACGAACGCAGACAGGCGGATGTTGAAATTGCAACACTTTAAGAATTATTGTTAGTTTGTGACCTTTAACATCCGCCTTATTGTTATTATTATTATGTGGTAAGAAGTGGGTTTGGTATGAAAATTAAAATTTTGATTAGGTGTTTATTTCATTTGAATCAGATTCATTTCTCATATAAAAATAAGTTGAAGCGAAATCAATATAATAAATATTAGTTTCTAGGATTGAAAACAACGTTCACATATGAAATAATTTTCTTTGCACCTTTCACAAATACATTTCAAATCGGGGCAATTCCGCATATTTACTTCATAGCGTCGCAATTTGCATTTAAATGCTTTTAGTAAATTACTTTATAGACGTTGCAATTTAATTCAACTAAGTTACATGATAATAAACCATTTCTAATAATAGGTTTTTAATTTTTGAAGAATTACAATCATTAAAAACGTTTAATCAATATTTAAAGTTGTTCACAAACTTCGAAAAAGTTCAAAAGGGATATTTAATATGATTTTTCTAGAATGAATTTGTCTATATTTGTATCTAAGTGTACTCCAAGATAGTTCACCGCTTCATATTTATTTTTCCATTCAAGTAGTTGTTTATTTTTTACCAGTTGATGAGCGTTTCCCATATTTCTACTGCGTCTGTTCGTAATATTTTGCAAATAAAACTGTTCCCCTGGCAAATACATATAGTTATGTCATGGTGTATAGCTTAAATAATTGGATGTAAATATTATAGAGAATTGGAAATAGGACGCTTCCCTGGGGAACACCTGTTCTAATTGGTGATTCTCAGGAAATGCGATTGTGGATTTTGGTAGAGAAAGTTCTATTTATCATATATGATATAAGGATTAACTTGCAGTATTCTCAAATATTTAATTTGAGGATCTTGTATTTTAGTCTATCTAACCATATTCTATCAAAAACCTGTGTAATATCCAGAAACAAAGCCGTTGTTGAATTTTTAAAATCATCCTCTATCAAGGCGACTAATTTCTGAAGTCGATGGTTTGTTGAATATTAAGTTTGAAACGTTAAAATAGAGAAAATTGGTAATCGCATTTTGGACCACCTGTATAAGATTGACCGATACAACTAATTGTGTTCCATTTGAAGCGTAATTAGAGAAAATTTTCAACTATGTTGTGGCTAAGACATACAGCTTAAAAAAGTCATTGATATTTGCTGAAAGAAAATGAAAATAACTCGAAAACGAAAAATCTGGGTATCAATAATCTCCTGTGTGTGTAAAGAGTTTGAATCTATAATAAAAACCACAACATTCTATTTATAATAACAATTTTGTGGTCTACTTCCTGGACCGGAAGTGGCACCCAATTGTACATCAAATAACCGCTGACAATACCAACATGCAAGTCCCACAACATAAAATGACTCGAGGAAGAACTCAAATCTCCAGACATTTCTGTATTTGTGAGCAAAGGTGAAACAGACCAATATGTTAAGAGTAAAATTTACTACAACTTTTGTTTCAAAAGCTTTTCTGTAACCTGCTCCGAATCTGGAGTTTTACCATTAACAACTTGTGAAACTACGAATTCTTCTAATTTTCATATTTTCGTATTTCTCTCGACATTTGTGCATCTGAGAGCAAAGTGTTAAGAGCAAAGTTTATTACAACTTTTGTTTGCAACGAACAGTAAATGATAAGAGGCGGAACATCTCGCGGTGATGAACTGCGGGCTGGTTTAAGGAGGATGAGGAAATGAAAAGCACCCGAGATAACGGGTGAAAGAGTGACAGAGGCAATGCTCAAGATGAGAGGAAAACTACTAAAGGGAAGAAAAAAAACCACAGAGGATTCAACAGCGTAGAAGGATCCAGGGTATTGGAACGACTAATTAGGCTACTATCCACCTTCTACAAATTGTTAACAAAAATAGTTACAGACCGCTTGACCCACAAATACAACTTCTTTCAGCCAGTTGAAGAGGCGTTTTCGAAACGGCTATTGACCACCAGAGGAATTGAAGGGTATGCTGGTACAACTCCATAAACTATCAGCAGAAGTGGGTCTAAGGATCGACCTTCAAAACACTAACATTTTGAGTCCGGATGTTCCCCAGTTTTTGATCGAAAATCATATTATAGAAGTTGTAGCACACGTACGACTTCAAGCGACCTTGGTCACGATATCAAGCTGGATAAAGAAAACCAGATCGCCAATATAACAAGAGGGATATGACTTTGGAAGCGTTTGGAAAACTTGGCCTCATCCCCAAAAACTCAGCTATTCTTATTAACCTGAAACGGAAAGTGTTCGAAACCTGCGTACTACCGTTAACAACATAATATAGCCTGGAAACAAACGCGGCCAATAAAAAAGGTGTCAATGGTTCTAAGAACACACCAAAGAACCATGGTGAAAGGGCAATATTGAGGATCAGTGCCAGAGATAGAGTGCGTAATGAGGAGATTCGAAAATGTACTAAGATCACAGACGTAGTAGCGAGGAATACTGGTCTCAATTAAAAAAATTTGGCAGGACAGGTTGCAAAACAAGACTGTGTGAAATTGTCGAAGTGGAGGTCCGGGATAACAAATCGGAGTGTGAGAAGATCGCGACGGAGATGAAATTAAGGACTACAAATGGCATCAAACAGATAGACATGGAAAACCATGGAAGAGGCCTTCAGAGAGTAGATATCGGGAATCGAGATGGCCACTCAATTTCACCTGTTCTACCAATTCAACGGTTTGGAAATGTGCGGCTTAAAAACTCTCGGACTGCGCGACTAAAATGTGGAGGAGCACCATCTTGTTGAATTCACTTATTGTCAATACCATTAGGGCATACGGCACGGACACTTGCAATCACTTGATTTTCTAACAGTTACAGATATCTGTCTCCGTCCAAATTTTCATTAATAAAAAATGGACCAATTACATTCTCTCCCACAATACCAACCCATACATTAAGTTTCTGTGATCTCTGAGTATGATCTCTTATTACACGTGGATTTTCGTCACTCCAATCACTAGGGAACCACCACTATCACTAGGGATATGCTCCTGATGGTTCAAAATTTACACATTTGTTATAAAAATCGCAATAAACCTGCAAAAAAACATGAAAACATTTTATTTTCCCATTTGATAGTCAACCATTCATAATTCTTGAAAGAATGAAGATATCGAGTTTTGGTTTATGGGGTTGTATTTCCTTTTTAATTACCTTTAAAATAAGGTAAAACTCGTCATCCCAAAAAAAAACTCCACATTGCATGGAAGTTCTAAACTATTTAAGAATGTAGCTTTTATGACTCTTTAGTGATCCCCAAATTTTCAAATTTTTTTCTATACTTGACAGTTCACGATTTCAAAATCGACAGGGTTGTTTTTAAATTATTTCAAAAAACTAGGGATAGTTTACCTCCTGAAGCCGTCACATGTACATGTATGAGGAATATTAGTTTACATTTACCACATTGCGATAGCTGTTTTCGTTTCTTTGGTTTTCGTCTTCAAATTATAAGGGAATATTTTTTGCCTCGACTTCCAACCATTATAACTCGTCCTAGGGGTTTATTACGATTACTATCACTGTACCTGATTGCAACGAAATTGGTGGGGACAGTTCTGACACTTCCCTTGTTACACACTTTTTGAGTTTTAGGGACTTCTTAGTTAGTAAGAAAAAAAAATGATTATAATTTATAATCTTTTATAACTTACAACATTTTGTGTTCTATAATATTTTCTTATACTCTGTCGCGACAGATAAAATTTGTATAATTTACATATTCCTCACTATTACAAGATTTCTCCTTTTAATTCCAAAAACTCTTAAGAGGGTGTGTGACGGTTTAGAAAAATCGATTATTTTCTCCTTTCGTGTTTCATTAGTAACATTTAATATGCTATGAAAATTTCCTGCCGAAGTTCCAAGTATTTACAACGTTATAGCACATAGGAAAGAGTACCACCGACGCATTAACCTTATCTATAGCTGTTATCTACTAATGTAAGAATAAACTATGAACATTTTAGAACGAAATTTAAAGTATTTACAGTTATAACACGTAGAAGAGAGTAAGACCGATGCGTTAACCTAACTAGTGCTCACAAATGCGTTTATCTCGAAACCATTTTTTTTGTTCAATTCGTGGGAAGAACTTAAAATTTATTCATCCTATCGAAATGCAATTTTGACACATTATTCTATACATCAGTCAATCATTGTGAGCACAAGTTTGTCAAAAAAAAAATGGGTTTTAGGAAAATTTTCTTTGCATGTACGTTATTTTGCTATTTATTTGGGGACGATTGATAAAAAAAAGAGTCAGTTTCAGAGCACTAGTAATTGAGATCTACTTTCCACCAGCTACTTGCAGCAATACCCCTTAATTCACTTCTACAATATTTTAATCACGGTCTCAAGTAAAAGTATAACTTAAAAACCCCATAAACTTGGTACATATTGGTTCTAATTTTTAATATCGACAATTTTTTTTTAGCAAGTTAGATTAAGTTGTAGAATTATACTACTTATTTTTTCCTTAAACCATACTCTATTTCTTATTCACATATTATAAAACGTGACATTTCCACGGTTTTAAATCCCACGCTCGGTGTATTAAAGACAACATTTATCCACGTTTGTGGGTATCTAGGTCAAAATGGTAATTACCATAATAAAAAATAGAAATTTTCTTTTTTTTCTTAAATTTGTCAACACACTGAGATCATTTTTTAACCCATCACCACCATTTACTTAATATATTTTTTTTTATTTCTTTCTAGTTAATCATTGGAAATTTTGGCTTAAGTTACGAACAAAGTAAAACTCAAATGGCAATATGGGCCATTTTAGCAGCCCCGTTACTAATGTCCGTCGATTTAAGAACAATTAGACCAGAATATAAAGCCATTCTACAAAATAAAAGGATAATAGCGGTGGATCAGGATCCTTTAGGTATACAAGGACGAAGAATATACAAAGTAGGTAACTCAATAAAAAACAGAAACCTTAAAACTCAGAATAATCATTTATTTTTTTTTATCTTATGTTTTCGCAATTGCATCGTCTTAAAACTTATTAAAGCATAAAGGTATCGAAATATGGTCAAGACCAATCACACCATTATATCAAAACTATTTCTCTTACGCCGTCGTCTTCGTAAATAGGAGAACCGACGGAACACCATCAGATGTTGCAGTTACGCTTAAAGAATTAGGTTTAGCCTCACCAACTGGATACAGAGTTGAAGTAAGTTGAATTTGTTTTTGGTCATTTTAAGGGAAATTAAAAGCAATTAATCCTAATACAATATAAATAGGAATAATTTCAAAAGATTTTAATGTTTCTTTTAAATATATTAATTAAATTAAATCATATTATTTTTTATTATTAATTCTTTTTCCAGGATCTATATGAAGATGTTGATTATGGTATTTTAACGCCACAAACAAAAATAAAGGTTAAAGTGAACCCATCAGGCGTCGTGATATTAAGGGCGGACGTTCAGCCAGATTTTAACAGAAGAGTTCCCTTTTATACAACTCAAAGGACCCCTTATAATCCTTTAAATCAAGTGTTCAGATTAAGAAGTAACGATTTTTGATAATATTGCAATAGATGATTGATATTTTTTTAATTTTCTTTTATGTTGAGAATTTATAGGATGTGTGTAAATAATCGACACCAAGTGAACGTGAATAATTCGTGTAGTTAGGTGAATTATTTTTTTACAAGATTATTTATGAAACCTTGTATATCTTTAGTTTTTTTAAAAATAATTTGTCTATTAATAAGTATAAAAAATACAGACTTTAAAACTCATTTTGAATTGCTTTTGAGATTGTTTTTGTTGAAACTGTAAAAATATTAAAAATTATAACATCAAAAAAATTAATTCGAATTCTTTTCTCTCAATAAAAATAAAAATTTTAGGCCTAACTATTGTTTCTTTTTTTGTTAATCTAACCTATATTCATATTTATCATCTCCAATAACAATACTAACTTTTAATCCTCGTACATTTTTCAACATTCGACTACAATTTAAAGTACCACGTATTACATCACCCTCTTCTACATTGATAACATTCTTTAAATAAAAAATAGTTTGTTGCCAATGAGTTCTTTCAACTTCCGGTCCTGTACTAAACGTAACCAAATTTTCTAACTCAAAAAATGTATCAAAATAACCAACAAAACACGTCAAAACACCTTTTTTAAGACATTTCAACTCGAAGTTAGCGCTGAAATTAGGCGTACTTGTGGTGCAATCGCGCAAATTAATCTCTTTTAAAACACATGATTCAGTCAAAACGTGTTCATTGGATAAAGTTTCGATATTAGCCTCTCCTAACACTTCTGATTTCATGCATTTCATATTAAACCCATAAACATCGTCCCAAAAATCGATATATTTTTTGTAACGTTCTAAATCTGATCCACCTATAAGGTTTATTGTGCATTTTGATGGTAAAACAAGGCCGTTTGGTTTTAAGTGGGTGTCACGAGCGTGAATAAAACTGTCCAACATTCCTTCGAAAAGGAGAAAATAGCCCATCCATTCTGAAACGATTATATCGACTTTTTCTTCTGGGAGTTGCGTATCTTCTAAACGACCATGAATTAAGTGAATTATTTCATGAAGATTGTTTTCTCTGTAAAAAATTATTAGTAAAGTTTTGAAATATTGAAAATGAAAATACTAACCTTACTATTTCCATTGCTTTGTAAACTACATCAGATTGATCGATTCCGTAAACCTTATTGGCTCCCGCTTTAGCAGCGAACATTGATAAAATTCCTGTCCCACAACCAACGTCCAAAACGGTTTTTCCGGAAAATAAAGCTGAATTTTTTAAGATTGCATCTCGATAACTTTCGGTCCGCACTTTATCCTTTAATAAAAAATAAACAAAATCAATATTTTGGTAAAGATAAAGTTGGATCGACAAGGTCCCGTATCTGAACAAACAATTTAAAATCAACATTTTACTTGGGAGTTTGTTTTCATGCGTACTTCTTGGTTCGGAATTCGGATTAATTGGGATTAATTTACAAATTTCAAAGAACGGAATCCAAATTATCTAATTAATCCCTACCTTTTTGATATTCTAGGACCTGTTGCAAGATTTTCAAGCGAAGGTTCACTTTTATTACTTTTTAAATTGTCAAACAAAGTAGCGTGTACCTGATTTTTGGGTATATTTATGTCTCATTTATAAGGCGAATCTTGATCAAGTAGTTCAAGAACATATTCATCGTCAGTTTCATTGTTTATGGACTATTCTTTTGTGTCAATTTATTAATAACTGTATAAGTATAGACAAAAACAGTTGTTATAACTTTAATAACAGGGGTCAGCTAAATCGTTTACCTCTTGAAGAAATGAACGAAAATATGATCTAGCTAGATGACGATTTCGAAAAATCAGATGATTCAAAAATGAAAGGTAATGTTGAAGAGAGACCACTCGACTCTGATACGGATCACGACATCGCCGATGATGATGAAGATGAGGATCGTGAAAATCAAGAAGCTGATTATTATGCTGAAGTCTTTCAAGGTGGTCATCAAAATATTTTATCGAACCATCTAGTCCAGGGGTCGGCAACCTGCGGCTATTTTGGTGTAAAGTTACGACTCTCCAGTTCCATACGAAGAAATTAATAATTTACTATCAAAAGAGATGAGACTCCGTGACCATGTTTATCTTTCAACCAATTGCATTCCATTTCCGTCTCATCTAAGTCTGTCAGTCAGTCATTCTTGGATAGCCGGATCGTCCGACGTTATGTTGTATGTTAAGTTAATCGCTTGCGATTTTTGCGTGTCTATTCGCTTGTTGTTTCAAGAAGAATAATAACAGTAACAGTATAATAATAATCAGTAACAGAATTGGATTACATATCTGATGATCGTTTTAAAGAAGTAATAATTGTAAATAAATTGTTTGCCGTTTTAGATAGTTATGTAAAATCAAAAAAAAAACATTTTTTCAGTTCCGCCACCACCATGGCAATTGGTAAAAAAAAAAGAAAACTGAAGAAGAAAACCGAGACTTCAATCAGGATTGGATGGAGTCGTTTGCATTCATATGCAACACAGATGACCTTCCGACTTATCTTATTTACCACGAAAAACTCGCACACGAATAGAAGTCAAATTTGGAGAGACACTTCACTATGAAACATATCCAGTTTGCTGATAAATATCCAACTAGTGACGCACGAAAAAAAGCTGTGAAAAATCAACAACAATCAAGTTCCATGTTAAGTAACTGGGCGCAATCTTCCAATAATGTAAATCTGGCAAGCTTTGCAGCATCATTAGAAACTTCAAAAGGAGGAAAACCATTCACAGATGGTGACTACATCAAAGATTGTTTTATACGTGCATATGAAGAACTGTTTCGTGATTTTAAAAACAAAGCAAAAATCATCAAAGATTCAACTGCTAAAATGTCTTCAAATGTAACAAATTTGCAGGTGGAAGACATTCAACTGGCTTCTGCCTTATCACTTGCTAGAGATAAGTCTTGCGACATAAAAGACACGGCACAAGTTACCCTTTTCGGCAGGTATATGTCGTTCCAAGGTCCAAAAGAAGAACTGCTAGGATTATTACCGCTCTCAGGGCAAACTCGTGGAGAATATATAGCAAATGCTGTGTAAAAATGCCTGAAAGACAATGGAATCGATATAAATAAAATCGTTTCTATAGCAACTAATGGAGCCAGAAGTATGACAGGAATACATAGAGGAGTAAAAGATACATAGAGGGGTGTGTCCAAATATTTCTGACCGAAATAGTTGAGGTTATGAACTTGGTAATTAAAATTATTACCATCATCTTGGCAAAAGCTCTCTACCATCGCCAGTTTAAAGATTTCCTCGAAGAAATAGACAGCCAGTTTTCTGATCTTTCCAGAGGTAACGTTTTGCTTTGTGCTTTAGTGAAATAAAAACATTCCTCAATGAAAAAAGCAATGACCATCCCGATTTGGAAGAAGACAAATGGCTGCAACTTCATGGTAGATACCACAATTAAACTAAATTAACTAAATCTAAAACTACACCCAACCCAACCCAGCCTACGCCTTGCTTGAAGAAGTTGTTTGTTTCAAAAAAAAATACTTCTTATTGTTGAAGACATGGAGAGCGGTAAATTACTTCATTTTAAAAATCTGAAGCGATGAGACCAATGCAACTATTGACACGAAAATAAAATGTGTATATAATTAACAATAATTAAACAGTTTAATTTCTTTTAATAATTTTTCAGATTAATATCATTTAATTATATAATTAACAACAATTTTGTCGAATGAACAACACAAAAAACAAAATACATACCCTATTGCTTCTAATTAAACTAGAAAAATGTATATTTTACCTGACAACTTAATATTGGGATAATGCAAAGTAACTTCCATAAAAATGGAACAAATTAAGATAAGTAAACTGTGGAAATAACGTAAAATGAAATGTTAAATTGCCGGTTTGTTCTAAAGCTTGTAACATTGTTGCTGTTGAGTAAATCTGTATTTATCAATTAAAATGGTGCGTGGTATCTGTACACAGTCAAAAATCCGTGAATTAGTGATTAAAAATTATTGCCACAATAAAACAATACGTGAAAAAGCAGACGAACTTAATATTCCTAAAAGCACAGCTTGGAAAGTAATTAAACATTATGGAGAAACTGGGCAAATTTTAGAAAAAAAGGGTAAAAGTTCAGGACGTCCAAAGTTAGTTTCTGATAGAAATAAAAGAATACTTGTAAAAATCTGCAAAAAGGACGAAGAAATATTTTAAGACAAGTTAGCGCTGAATTGAATAATGAAACTGGATTAAATATATCAAGGGAATGCTGTCGCAAATGGATTCTTAAAAGTGAATTAAAGTTTTACGAGGTTTACTTACAAGGAATAATTAAAAAAATGTCGCTTTTAAAAAATTGTTGTTTTATAAGCAAAAGAAAAACCACTGTTAACAGAAAAACAACAGAAAGCCAGGCTCACATGGGCAAAATCTAAACTGTCTTGGTCAGCAGAAGACTTTTCCAGGATAATATTCAGCGATGAATCGAAATTTGCAATAAACATGAGGCATTTCATAACGATTGTTTAAAACGTTGTGTAAAATTTCCGAAGGAAGTAATCATTTGGGGCTATATGACAGCTTCAGGATAAGGATGCTTTGAATTTATTGATGGCACCGTGAACGCCGCAATATATCAACAAATACTACAAAACAGCATACTACCAAGTATCGTGAAGTTAAATGTTGGCGAAAATTACATTTTCAGCAGAATGGAGCGGCTTGTCATACGGCCAAAACTACAAAAAAGTGGTTGGCGATCAAAATATTAATGTTCTGTATTGGCCCAATAACACTCCAGATCTGAATGTAATTGAAACAGTGTGGCACAAAATGAAACAATCTTTGATGAACAACCCACAACGGACATTGCCAGAACTTAAAGCCAAAATAAAGCAAATTTGGGATGGATTTACTCCTGAACAGTGTAGAACCTTAGTGAATTCAATGCCCAACCGATTTCAAGCGGTTATCAAATCTAAGGGCGATGTTACTCCATATTAGAAATACAAATCGTGCAATGTCCCAATATTTAGTTGTCAGGCAAAATTTACATTTTTCTAGTTTAATTAGAAATAATAGGATATGTATTTTGTTTTTGTGTTGTTCATTAGATGAAATTGTTGTTAATTGTCTAATTAAATGATATTAATTTGAAAAATGTATTAAAACAAACTAATCTGTTTAATTGTTGTTAATTACATATAAATTCTATTATGTCCCAATATAGGGCCAGTTGTTAGAGCTCGTATAACATCTGCTTTGTATAGTTTTAATATGATAATTATTTTCACATCCTTCTATCTATAAACACATTTTTGTACTAACCGGTTGTATTAACCGAAAAACCGGTTTTTGAAATATTCCGGTTTTTCGCGAATCTTAAAGAAGATTGTAAAAGTTAACGTTTTAAACTTTTATCATAATCTATGTAAGAGTTTGCATTTTCCACTTCGAATATACGTTTTGTTACGTTACGTTGTTGTCATTTTAAAATAATGTTTTTTTTTTTACAGCATAAGATAATTTTTGGTTTCTAGAAAAAATAGCAAAACAAAATTTTTCGTGCAAAACGCAAAAAATTACAACTTTTTTTTCAAAATGCAACATATCCAAGGGTCTTTTTGGGAATTCTCAGCGATAAAGCAGATTTCATGAGTAATTATTTGTGTCTAAAAAGACTAATACATACAATAACTAACGTCTAAAAAAGAAAATAGCATCACACTTCATGTAACTTGTTGCGTTTTGTAAAAAAGCTCTATAACGCTAACGTAAAGCTCAATAACAGTCTATTGTGCTTTTGACATGTCAGTTGTCTGCTGTCTTTCTTTCCGACTTCTTTTGTATTTCTGATAAGCTCAGTATTTTGACCTTATATGTTATCATTTATCATTAAATCCGCTTTGTAGTTGATTAGCCCGACGCAGATGGGCCCTATTACCATGGGACAACTGCTGGAACAAATGCCAACCTCACCTGCACCACATGCAGGCGAGGTTTGCATTTGAGTGTCTGGATGATGATGAGAAAGTAAAAATGATAGCGCTGAATAGAAAAGAGTACCAAAAATGGATCGAGGACCCGACGCCGCGCCGTAAGATATTAGTGAAAAGGCAAAGATGATTAATGATTTAATTAATGAACAAATGCAAATATCATCATGAAATAAAGAACATTTTAAAGCAAATTAACTTAGTATTTAATATTTTGAATATGCTTTTTTCAAATCTTCAAATTTCAGAGTTATCAATGTTTGAAGACAACCTTGCATCATTATAAACATTAATGTTAGGGTACTAAATTTTCGCTTCCGGCGCCGGCTCCTAAAAATATCACTATTGGGAACCGGCGGCGGTAGGTATACTGCCGGCAGCCGAGATTTAAAACAACGGCTGGCGGCGCCGGCACTCAAAATGGCAACCGGCGACTAAATTGTGATGTGCAAAGGGCTGTGTTTCAGTGATGGTAAACAAACACTAAAAAAAAGTGTGTGTTTATCTTCACGGTTTGGTTATTTAGTTAACAATAGTAAAAAATGATCGAGATGCTAGAACAATAGCAAATCAAAAAAGAAGATTTCCTGTCACCGTCGACAAAATAAATGAGAACCTTAAATACTATTACATAAGATTAGCATGTGTAAAAGGAGGTAGACGTCTCAAATCAAAAAATGACCATTCATCGAGAAAGTGCACAACTTTAAAACAGGACTGTGAAGCTACGATTTTCCTACGTTTAAGTCCTTCTCAAAAGACGCTTAAAGTAGTTGAATTGAATGAAAAACATAATCATCAAACATCCAAGTCCTATTTTGATTCTCTTTCTCAGCAAAGACTAAAATTGCCAAAAACTGTTAAAGAACACGCTAAAGAATGTTTAAAAGCAGGTGCCAACAAACAAATTTTATTAGACCAAATTCACCAACAAACAGGATGCAAAATCACTTTAAAAGTCTTGACTAACTTAACTAGACGGACTGAAAAAACGAGTTTTGCAGAATGTGTTGACTTGTTGAAAAATACCTACAAATGTAGCAGTATGGAAGTATCGGTTGATGAAAAATTAGTCTTTGAAGGATTATATTTTCAAGACGAGAGGATGAAGAAATACTTTGAAGCTTTCCCTGAGATACTGTTTGTGGATGGGGCATATTGCTTGGTGGATTTAAGAACAGCAACTTATATAATCATGGTATATAAGCCTTTAATTTCTTTATAGAAAATTTCAAAAAATATAATCCCACTTGGAACAAAGTTCAAGTTGTAATGTCAGACAAGGATAGGACAGAGAAAAAAGTTTTTGCGAAACATTTTCCAGACGCAAAGTTCATGATTTGCCTGTTTAATGTATTTCAAATATTTAATAGAGAGATTTCTGCTAAAAAAAAATGAATATTTCAACCAGTGAAGTCCAAAAGAGCAAATTGTTTCTACAAAAATTAACTTATGCTAAATCAGAGCATGAATATGACACAATTTACAAAGAAATGATAGAAAATGTACCTGAAATTGTAAAAAATTATTATGAAACTTGGGTAAAATATCTGTCTTTCCAAAATTTATGCCTATCAAATACTACAAACAATCGGTTGGAGAACTTAAACTCTAATTTAAAAAGCGTAATAAGCCGATATAGCCCTCTAAAAGCTTTTATCAAGCACTTGTTTGTTTACATAAACAGCTTCCGTGCTGGACAAGACGTCAAAATCTCACAAATGTTAAACAAGCGTTTGGCAAAGCCGTTTAAGATTGGATCTGTGAAAGCGTTATATTACGAACTTTTGACGACATTTGGATATGAAAAAGTTGAAAAACAGCTTGAATTGTCAGATTCATGTACTGACTTCAAAAATATTGAGGATGACACATTTTTGGCTATATCAACAGAAGGACTGTTAAAAATAACACCATTAGACTGTGAATGCATGTGCCGTAAATCCAATCAGTTACCCTGCAGACATATATTTAAATGCAGAAAATTTTTATCATTGTCTTTATTCGAATCAAGCTTATGTCTAAACAGATAGACGAGACGGAATTCTGAACAATACTACAAGAATGTGAAAGTAATTTGTCAAATAATTTTGAATTGGTTGAGACAGCAAATACCAAAGAGATAACAGTTAAAGTAACCAATACAAAACCAAAATCTATGACTAGTCGCCAAAAATTCAAAATGATTGATGACCAAGGGAAAATAATGGCCAACTTATGCAGTGAAGTGTCAACACCAATATTTCACAAAAGATTAGATTTTATTCAAAATGTTATTAAGCTCTGGTCTGAAGGAAAAGATACTGCTTTAAACAATATTTTCTCTGAAAAGTTTGAAAAAGAGGAAGACATTAAAAATAATGCTTCTGTAAACATTGAAGAAATAAATAATAATAAAACTAATGAAACACAGGAAGGCTACGTTTACTTCGAAAACACAGAAATAGAAATAGAGTATATTGAAGAAAACGCACAGGTACCTGTATCTGATCCTGCTACTGAGGAAGCAATTCAAATACCAGCTGAACAAACAAAAGAAATTATCAGTTTTCATATTAGCCAAGAAGAAACACTGCAAACAAAGAAAAACGAACAGATAACTGAAGAGAAAGAAAAACAGAATATCCGAGAAGAAACTAGAGAAGACCTGAAAACTGAAAAACAACAGATTAGTGGAGAGCCAATTGGTGAATTAATGACAATAATAGAGCAGATTACTGAAGACAAACGTGAGACAGTGAAGATCAGGCTGAAATAAAGATACTTAAAGTCTTAAAGATCAGATAACTAAAGTACAAGTTACTGATGAACACAAGGCTATGGAACAAATAAATCTTAATAATATAAAAATGCCTGCAAAAATGAAAAAAAGGGGTAGACCTAAGGGATTAGGCAATACTGTCATAGGTTTAAAGCGTAAGAAATTAATTTAAAAAAGCATGTAAGTGATTCTTAATAAAAAATGTTTTTCGAGTCAATTGATGTTTTATTTTTATTTTATTGTTCCTACTCCCTTTTGTATAATATATATAAGTTAGACGACCAGCGCCGGTGGCCAGTTCAGAAACCAAATCTTTACGCTATATCTATGGTCGTTGATGTCACAAGTTCGCCTATCTCACTTCAACAATTTACTGTCACACTCCTTCTTCAGCGCAACTGATTGTACAAGATAAATTTGCCAAGCTGTACCTATATTTTCAAAATACAAGAAATTGCTTCTTATAGGGAATTATGTTCTGTGACCATAGTTTGTATTCACAAATATTTATTATACGACTAACACTGTTTTGCCCCAAATATAAGTCTACTCAAAAGTTGCCAATTAAGCCATTTTACTATCAAACCCTATCTTATTCCTTATTTTAAAACAATATAATTTAACAAATGTGAAATTTAAAATGTTAATGAATTAAAATTTAAATACTTACATTAAGCATGTCATGATGTATTCCAAAATGAGCATAAGAATTAAAATATTCACTATCATATCCAACTGGAATGGATCCTACACAATTAATCTTACTAGAATTTGCTAATTTTTCATCTCCAGCTTCTATTATAGTTCTAGTAATTTGTCTCATCTTAGAAATATCTTCCATGGCAGTTTGAAGTAAAGAGTCTTTGTGTTTCAGCTGCATTAACAAATCTATTAGAATTAAAAGTGGTAAATACAACCAAAAAAGTGAGATAACAAAAAATGGAATTATAATTTGAAGTATTGATAGACAATAAAAGTTATAGAATTTATTGTAAAAATTTAAATAAAATTTTTTTTAATAGTAAAAGTTTATAAGAAATCTCACAAATATAATTTCTTACCTGAACGGTTAAGTCTTGAATTTGCCTTTGTAAATCAGCATAAGTAATATTACTTATAGGAGTTTTTCCATCAATTGCATAATGAGGAGTAGATGGAGCACTCCCTAAATCATCAAAATCTAATGAAAGAAAAAAGGGCCATTTTCGAAAAATAAAAGAAAATGTTTTTGCTCACCATACATTAACCAAGATTCCATTTCACCTGGTTTTAAATATTCATCATCTTCCCATAACACACTACAAGACTCAGTAATTGTTTTAGGCTCAGGTTTATGTTTTCTAATATAATTAATCATTTTAATAAATGAGTAACAATCCATGTTGTATTTCGTTTTCAAGTCTAAAAGATCAAAATTATGCTCAGTTCGGCAGTGATCTAAGGCGACGGCAATCGTGTGAAATTGAGATGAACAAAATAAACAGGTCGTTTGTTCACCTCCAGTGGCTTCCATTTCATCCCAACCATCAGAATCTTCATCATTTTGATTTGATGGAAAATCAGCGAGTTTGGGGACGTCTATTAATTGATATTCTAAGTTTATGTTTATAATAATAATTTAAAATATCATTACCTGAGTCACCCATTGTGTACGAACTGATGGCAACACGTGCTTTGAGGTTAGATTTCTTTCTGTAATGAAATACTTTGTGATTTACACACGAAATAATAGATTTAAGTTGGATGTAAATTATTTAAGTTTTAGAAATAATACTTCTAAGGTGGTTTTCTTAAATGAATGATTTAAGTTTAAATTATTGATCAAATGCCTTTAACCTTAACAGTTTTATTGACAGATTGGTGATCGACGTGAAGTTGTCCTTTCCGGGGTAACTTGAGAAAAAACTAGATTTAATTTCTTTTTATTTTAATCATCTTTTTTAATTCAAAAATTATTAAATTATTATATTAAAATAGTAGATGTATTTGGAAACGGCAAATGTTTTTGATTAGTTATACTCTGTTTTTAAACCAGGAAGAGTATTTTAAATTTGTTACCAGATTGACCTTGCACGTGATTGGTTGAATGCGAGGAAGTTCACAGGCAATTTTGAATTTTGAATTTGAAGGTTAGGTTATTGATAATTCGACAGTTTCGTGTCATTGTTGTAAATTTTGTTTAAACCCTTTTGCGTCTTCAATTTAATTAAGTGAAATCTGTTCTTTTTAGAAGAAGGTATGGATCGTGACCCTAAAGCCGTGTGTCCACTAGCAAGTCACTTGCGGAAGAACTTCTGCAAGTATTTGCTGAAGTGTTTCCACTCAAACCGAAACTTGCGGAAGTCTGCTTCCAGAAGTAGTTTGTAGAAGTTATCACGACGAACTTGCTGCAAGAAATTGCAGACGTGTTTCCACACAATGTGAGTACAGCTTGCAGTAGTTTGCTTTTTTTACGAATGACAGTATAAAAATGTCTTGTGGCAAAATAAGATTGGCAGCTGCCATCGCAGCATATTTAATTAAAAAGAAACAAATTAAAAAAAAAACAAAAAGAAGTGTTTGGGTGAGAAATTGGGTGCTGCGGCGCGTAGATTTAAGTTTCCAAAATACATTACTTGAAGAATTGCGGACCGAAGACTCCATGCAGCTGAAAAATTTCCTGAGAATGTCTAATGATGATTTTGAATACATTTTATCTTTAATTCAAACAAGTATTCAAAAGCAGGATACTAAAATGAGATTGGCTATACCTCCCAAAGACCGGCTTTTAGTTACTCTTCGATTTTTGGCAACAGGTAAGAAAAAAAACAAGAAAAATATTTTTTAAATCATTTTATTCATAAAAAACAAGAAAAATATTTTTAATTCATTTTATTTTCATAAGTATTTCAAATTAAATGTAAATTATGAGTATATTTATTTTGTAGGCGATTCCTTTCATTCGCTTATGTATTTGTTTCGAATCCCTGTATGTACGATTGCAAGGATTGTGTTGGAATGTTGCGAGGCTCTGTACCAATGTCTGAAATCAAAATATTTGAAGGTAAATATTAAAATATGTAATTTATATAAAACATTTTCCAAAAATACTTTGTGCGTTGTCCGAACATATAAAAAATTGGGTAGATGTATTGCAAGGCAGCATTATTGATGATTGACTGGAGCTTTCAAGCCCAGTTGTACCTGAACTAAGTAGTTGCATATCCGAGTTGTCTTCATCGTCTTCGTCCGTCACTTTTAGAATAGCCTGCTGAATTAATCTTTTAAGTTTACGCTTGCTCCCAGATTTTCTCAAACCTCGAAGTTCTGAGGCGACAAAGTCACCAAATATTTGGTATTCATCAGACGGTTTTTGCATTATTTGCAGAGCATTTTCCAATACGACGTCATGTTCGTCTTTTTGTGAATTGGTTTTTTTTTGTCGTTTCCGTGATCCTTAAGAAAGATCCTTAAAGAAATTAAGAACACAAAAGCATTTGTAATTGAAAACTCCTAAAAACAAATTAAGAACAAAAAAGAATTTATTAGAAATTAAACTGCTTTCTTTTAGGTTCCATCAACGGAAGAAGATTGGCTTCAGTATTCCACCGGATTTCACAACAAATGGAATTTTCCTAATTGCCTAGCTGCTATGGACGGGAAACATGTGGTGATACAGGCACCAAAGAAAGAAGGCAGTGTTTACTTCAATTATAAAGGCACACATAGCATTGTACTGTTGGCGTTGATTGGACCTAATTATGAGATAATTTACTTTGATGTGGGGTGTAATGGTAGAATTTCGGACGGGGGAGTATATAACAATTGTGAATTATCGAAATGCCTTCAACAAAATACATTGCATTTGCCATCTCCACGATCACTTCCTGGTAGAACAATTCCATACGTTATTGTTGCAGATGACGCATTTGCTCTTAAGAAGTATATTATGAAGCCATTCTCTTTCAAGAGCCAGCCAGTGCAAAATCGTGATTTCAATTATCGGCTTTCTAGGGCCAGAAATGTGGTTGAAAATTTTTTTGGACAAATTGCAGCTCGTTTTCGAATTTTACGTAAGCCACAATAGTATTCTTTTAAGTCCACAAAAAACAAGAAAAATTGTTAAGGCCATTTGCGCTCTGCATAACTGTCTGTTAAGTCGCAATTCTCAATATGCGTCGTCTATGACATTTTTTAATTGTCCTGTATCCGATAATCAAGGAGAGCGCCGTACAGAAGGGATACCAGAAAGAAACATGTTACCACTTGAACCACATAATTCACGCAGTCAAGCACAAGAACCGAAAAATGTTCGTAACGAATTTGCTGAATACTTTATTTCACCAGAAGGAGAAGTGGAGTGGCAATATAGGCATATATAATAAGTATGTACAAGTGAATATGTAATATAATGGAATATATAATGAAATAAAAATTAAAACGATTATATATGTGTTTTTTCACTACTCCAAACGAATTTATTTTTGTCCATTTTTATAAATTTTGAAAAGAACTCAAAAAAAAAAAACAAAACAGAAGAGAATACCACAAACCGTTTACTCACGTATACCCGACTTCTTCTGCAAGTCTTCAAAACACTTGTAATTCACAGCAAGTCGTTCAAGTTACTTCCAGTAAGCAACAAACACGTGTTTCCACATAATTGCTGCAAGTAACTTCTGCAAGCCGTGACTTCTGGAAGTCGACTTCTAATACGTGTTTACACGACAAAAACTTCTGGAAGTCACTTCTGGAAGCAACTTCCGCAAGAAAACTTGGTAGTGGACACACGGCTTAAGATTACCTCATTCC